AGCAGTCGGTATATCACTTGGATCATATTATTCGGGGATTCACACCGCATATGCTATATATTGGTATCAAGTCACTTGGTTGACTATAATTATCAAAAACCACTCGGTTAATTAGATAATTTATTCCTTGACTATATGTTTAGTTTGTTCAGCTAATCACATAGTTGGGGGCTACACCTATTAGGTGCATCTATTCGATGCACCTGACTTTATTTTTCAGCCCTCCACAGTCTTCAGATTTGGTAAAAGTACTCGGGAGACCATGGCGAAGATGATTGAAGCACTCGGCTTTAGAGTAATCTAGTTCGAGAGAAGATTATATTTTCGACTGTGAAGATCTCAGGGGCTACTGTGGAGATTATGGGTACCCCATACCCACACGGCATGGTTATCCGACTAGTTATAGGGGATAACTTATATATATGAAATATGTAACAGATCATGACTTGGGTATTACGTTTCCCTGTATATTATGGAACGGCCTAAAGTCCTGGTTTGATAAGATTGTAAAGTAGATTTAGGAAACCGATACCGTCTTGGTTAAGGTTTCTATCTTGTAACCCTGCCCCCTAACCTATATAAGGAGGGCAGGGAGCCCCCTTTAGGGGCATGAGACAACCTGATCGTCAGATCTATACTACACCCGGCGGATTCAAATCCCCAAACAGGAGTAGGGTATTACCTCTCATTGAGAGGGCCTGAACCTGTCTAAATCCTTTGTCTCTGCATCCATCCACTTTTAGGTCTCGTGCGCTACCCCCTTTTATTATTGCCGAAATCATGTTTCGACAAAAATATAGCCAAAATAGTTCATTATCCGACTTGATTCCTCTCTCCCCGTACCTAAGAAATAGTACTCCGCGATAACTACTCCTATTTTTCTCCGTTCATAATTCATGATATCTTATACAAGATCAAGATAAAACAATTAAAATTTTGACAATCAATAAATTTTAAACTATTTAGTTTAATTTAAATTAAAGACACTAAACATAATTTATAGATTAATTTTAAAAGTACTACATTCATAAAATTATATATTTACTTTATATATATATATATATATATATATAATATTATAGTTAAGATAATATATGTTTTGAAGGGCCTGTAGCCTAATGATTACAAAAGCCTCAGTAGCACATGAGGTCCTGGGTTCGACTCCCCTTGGGAGCAAATTTTTCAGGATTTAACAGCGTTGTGTTTTCAGTTCGACTCCCCTTGGGAGCAAATTTTCCAAGATTTAACGGCGTTGTGCTTTCAGTGGTAGGCGACGTACCCGTCGACAGCGAGGCGCCTGTGGTGACTTCGTCAATCTCTCTAGAATTTGCCGGCCCAGTCTTCGAAGATGCTCATAGGGGTAGAGTTTGCGTGCGTGTGTTCATAGGGATGAGTGCGCGTGCGTTGTGAGTGTCTGCGTTGTACTGTGTAATTTTCAAATATATATATATATATATATATATATATATATATATATATATATATATATATATATATATATATATTATAAAAGCGTACATGCATGCATATATTGGCAGGTAAAACAAATCAACGCGATTCACATTAATTGCACGCTATATTCATTCTAATTGTGCCCGAACTAAGTTCGAGAAAACAGCCGATTGCGTTCATTCTGTTGCACACGTTTTTTCACCTTGGAACATCGCTCACATGGCAAGTGTGTCGATGTGTATGTGGACGCACTAGTACTTAATTAATACATTTGCAAACAAATAAACAAGACCTCTCTTATGTTTAAGACCGATCTCTTATGTTTACCTCGTGCCCGAATGACATCGATCAAATCATCCCCTTGGATACATAGATTTTGACCACCGTTAATTGATGCTAGATCGGTCACATTAATGAATTCATAGTCCGGTAGCTACTGAGCTCGGTTTGAGGCACGCAACAAGGTAATTAGAGAGTCAGACATACAGTAAGATATGGTTTTGCCATGCTCATGGACAAGCTAAACCACGAAACACTGAGGCAATCAGGGAATTTACTCCCGCTGTTTTCTAATAGACGAAGCCATTTGACTTTTAAACATTTTTTGATTATTCGTCTTATTCAAAAATTTTATGAAAATATATAAGATATAAATCAAGCTTAAAATATTTTGGGTGATAAAAACAGCTCACGAGAAAATAAATTATAATTAGATAATTTTTTGAATGAGACGAATAGTCAAATGTGTTATAAAAAGTCAGCACCGTCATCTATTAAAAAATATAGTATATATTAAATATTATAAAAATGATGGATGAATTTGAGTTGAAATATTGTAAAAATAACATGAGAAATAATGATTTAGCATAATTTATGTTTAGCTTTAGAATATAATATATTATAATATATTGTATATGTAATTACTACACTTGCATGTTAAGTTTTAGGATACACTAGTTATGTTTGTATATGTTAAACTTTAGGTGTTTTGTGGGTTATAATTATATATTAGGTATAGATTTGTTACTGAATGTGTAACTAAAATGAACTCCAGATGCTTTATCCTAATTCTTGCTTGGCTCACGCTAACAATATGTCATATTTCTCTCGAACTCCATGATTGGACCATCAGGGGATCGACCGCCGGCATCGCCAATTGTCAAACCGAACACAATTATTTATTTGCCGAGCTGCAAGCTAGTACATTTTACACCATATGTCATCAGTCTAGCTAAGTAGGCATTTGTCATCATCAAGTGCAATTTCAGGATGGCTGGATATTTATTTGAACTGGTGCAATTAATATCATAAAAATCTACACATTTGTATATAACCAGACAAACATAACACTCTCATCTACCTACTATTCCAACAAATTCCATAGCTCGATTGAAAGCGACTGCAACAAAATAAACATATATATTAGCTTTAGGTCGGGCATCCAACATGATACGTCTCTGTGTAACGCTGTATTTCCCACTCCAGAGTTCACATGCTAATACACAATAGTAACGACATCTAAACTGCACAATTGATCTCTTCCATTGCTACATCTCTTTCCTCTCATAGATAAAAGCAGATGATGTATTGTTGAGCTTGCGAACCAACACCGATATAAACCTCCATAACCAAACAGGGAAGAACATTATAGAAGATCAAATATTAATTATGATATTTGAAACACGATATTTATTAACGAGATTCAACCAAAGTCTATCTCCCTATAGCATTGAATACGGGTGTGCTGGCCTTCCAAATCAACTAGGCCATCAGCCAGTCATTCGCTCACCTGTGCTAATGCCACAAGAAAAGAGGCTGACTCTGTTTCATCTTATATCTATTACAACTCTTAGTCTTAATTTCTAACCGATTTTATATGCATATACAACACAAATGCTAACAATCATATCAATATTGTGGGAGGACATGAATTAAGTCAATGATGAATACAGTTCATGGAAATTGCCATAGCAATTTGATTTGGCAACCACAACGGTGATGCTACTTGTGCCGATTATGATGCTTGACATTATTCTCTATAGGCTTCACCCTGTAACTTTTCTAGTTACGCGTCTCTTCCAATCCTAACTTCTCACCCCCACCACTGCTTACTCACAATCTACTAGATCTATTCGATGGTAAGAATAATGTTGACAAGTTATGATCCAAGGCTAAGAAAATAAATTCTAATTAAACTGGTAGTCTCTTGTTACATATCTTTTCGACGATTCGTTGTACGTGCTGCATTTTACTGTTTCGCTGTTGCGTGTTTCACCCCCTTTGTTTGGATGTTGCATCAATTATCTTGCACGGATCTCTGTACATATTCCACAACTTCTACACAAATGTTATACATTTTTCGTAGTGATGTTTCATGTCTTATTTGAGAATGTTGTATCGAACATTTATAAAACAGTTATCGGGCACTGATGTCGTGCTCATGTACCAGCTGAGCCAGTGCAGTGCTAAACACTCAGCTGGCAATCAAGCACAATTAGTCGTAGTATTAATTTATCATCGAATATACTATGTAATTAAACAAGTATGTACTCAAGATGCTTATTCTATCATGCGTGCCTCACGGGGACAAATACGGAATCTCTCTCTAACTCGATGATTGGGCCTGAACGGATCCAACTACCTGCCAGCATCGATCGGCGCCAATTACAAAATACAGCTTGGAAGTGGATCATTTGTACGACTTGTCCATAGTACGTCTGTTACTGCACTGTACCAGCGGTATTGCAGAGAAAACCACGTCGAATACTCTTTAGATTCCATTGTGCCAAACAAGCTGAGATGGTTAATTGTTTATGTAGATCATTAGTTAGTACTAGTACCTTCTTTTTAAAATATGTGACGCCCTTGAATTTTTTCAATAATATTTGATTTTTTTATTTAAAAATTTAGTAAAAATATATAAAAATATAAGTTAAGATTATATTTTATTTGACGATAAAAAAAGTCATTACAAAATAAATGATATATATTTTTTTAAAAAATACGAATAATCAATCTTTATGCGAAACATCAACGGTATCATTTATTTTAAAATGGAGGAAATACATGATTACATATTGATTATTATAAATTGGAAAATAGATATATTTTCTCTTAAGAAACTTTTAATTACGTACTATAATTATTTTTATTAGAAAAATCACCGTTTAAGTATATTAGGAAGCGTTAAAAAAAATGAGAGAAAGTAGCCCGTAGAAAGAAAGTACTCGTAGCTGGTAGGCTTTTAGTCAATCATCAACTACAATTTTAATCTGTTAAAAATACTCCGGATGAACAGGAGTATATATGTTAATTTGAACAGTTGTACACACACAAAAAATAATACGCTCGTCATCTACATACCAACTCCTCCAACAAATCAACGAGTCCATTTTGCTCGATCGAAAGCGACTCCAACAAAAATTAATAATCCACACATTGGATCACCATCTACCTAGCTAGCCACCAAACTAATTAATCCACTCGCTAATTAATTAATAATTACAAGCTGATCCACGTCGCCGGCCTATATATACCCCCCGCCTCCACGCACCACCACCACCACCATCACCACCACCTCGAAGGTCTTGAGCTCCATCTCCGGCGACGGCGGCGACGACGACGACGACGGCGAGGAGGAGCTAGTAGCTAGCTGAGCCAGACAGCATGGGGTTCGCGGTGGTGAGGACGAACCGGGAGTTCGTGCGGCCGAGCGCGGCGACGCCGCCGTCGTCCGGCGAGCTGCTGGAGCTGTCCATCATCGACCGCGTGGTGGGGCTCCGCCACCTGGTGCGGTCGCTGCACATCTTCTCCGCCGCCGCCCCGAGCGGCGGCGACGCCAAGCCGTCGCCGGCGCGGGTGATCAAGGAGGCGCTGGGGAAGGCGCTGGTGGACTACTACCCGTTCGCGGGGAGGTTCGTGGACGGCGGCGGCGGGCCGGGGAGCGCCCGCGTGGAGTGCACCGGCGAGGGCGCCTGGTTCGTGGAGGCCGCCGCCGGCTGCAGCCTCGACGACGTGAACGGCCTCGACCACCCGCTCATGATCCCCGAGGACGACCTCCTCCCCGACGCCGCCCCCGGTGTCCACCCCCTCGACCTCCCCCTCATGATGCAGGTATAATACTACCCGTATACGTACGTTTCTACGTACGTAAGTACGTGCTATACTTGCGAGCAGACAAAAACAAATAAAATCGGTAACAACAATTAACCATCCAGTTATGCTTACAACTAATTCAAATTATCTTAATTAATTAAAACTGTCCGGCTAATTAAGTGATTATTAAGGGTGTGTTTTTATCACATCTTCCCGACTGGTACTCCCTCATTTTCCACACGGATGTTTTACAACTGCTAAACGGTACGTATTATCAGAAAAAAGTTATATATATAAATTGTTTTAAAATCATATTAATCTATTTTTAAGTTTATTTTAGCTAATAGTTAAATAAACACGCGCTAACGGATCATTATGTTTTGTGTGTGGGGAGATATAGTTTCTAACCTCCACCTCTAAACACAGCATAATTGTTGGTACGTAGGGCCTATTCACTTTAACGCAAAAAAAGAACCTTACCAAGTTGCCAAAATTTTGGTAGGATTTCTTATATAGTTACTAAAATTTGATAGCAAACTAAATATAACCACTTTTTTATAACTTTACCAAAATTTGCTAAGATTGAAAATGGCATCAAAGTGAACAGGCCCGTATACGTACGGAGAATGCTGACCTCTCCGGATGATACCTTTAATTTTTCACTTGTGTGGATGTGCACACATGTACGAGGACGAACACATTCAAACCCGTGAAGATTTTAATATGTGGACGAACTCGATCTATGGTATTGTTGCTGACGAATTAATTACAAAAGTGCTCAAGGAGTTATGTAACTATAAGAACAAAACTATATATGTTTGCCCAAGTAGAAATATATACGAACAAAAACACAGACATGAATAGAACCTACGCGTACGTACATATGTGCCATTACATGCATGTACACAATCATTAGCTAGTGTCCTGGATTATATTCTAGTCAATTATAACTTTCTAGAAATTAGGTACTAATATATGTATGACTCTCAAACTGTAGTCATGCTTGTGTCAAGTTATAATTAAGTACAATAATCACACCGATTTATTTTACATAAAGTACAGTAGGATTCAAGATAAGACTGAGCTATATAGTACTAGGCAGGATGATGAGCTAGCTAGAGCTTAGTGCTCAACATAAACTAGTTGGAGCGTGCACTGCAATTTTCAAAGTAAAATTAGTTAATTTGCACTAGGTGAAGTTGATCCTGTCAGGTAGGTAAGCTCACCAACTCCAAAGATTGGACAGAATGAAGCATCTGTGGAAGTGAAAGCAGTTGCGTTGGCGTAAGACCACACTAACCAGAGAACTCATAATACAAAATACATATACAGCACACAATTTATATTGTGTATATATATATATATATATATATATATATGTATGTATGTATGTATGTATGTATTCTAACTGTGTTATCCAATTTTTAAGAAATTTCATCTTTTCAAAAGTAGTAGTATTTGAGTGATGCATGTGCACGTTTTTAGATATGTACATATACCTCATCTATCTTTAAAAATAAAATAAATTTTATACATGAGTCGGAACACTAAGCTTTAACACTGATATCTGACGATAGCATGACGGGATGAGCTTGTCATCAATTGCAGCAGGGCAATTAGGCATGTAAACTGGGGCCATTGATTTCTGTCGAGCACACTATGCTTTCCCTGTCTTATTCTGCCTAACTTAACACTAATATTTGACACACTATCAATTGTTAGCTATTGATATGGCAGTTTGACATCGACCCTGCTCCATCATTATTACTGCATGCCCGCCCATTCGATGATTGACTTGACCAAACCCACAAGTGCAAATTGGAAAATTAATTAATTAATTAATTAGCAAGATAAATATATCCATCAGGGATTCAGGATCAGGTCATGGATGTAATCACTCTCAAACATAGCTAATCATTGTGCTTATGGTCCAAGTGATCATTCCCCCTAATCAACAACTCGCTTGCTAGCAAGACGTCCCTTCGAATGGATTATTTGATAGCTAGAGCATATCACCTTGCACTTCACCACTCCCCTTATGCAGAGTGTACGTATGTCTAACCAGAATCTAGTGGTGAGCGTAAAAGATCAAAGTGCCCTTATCAATAACAAAATACTCCGTAATACATTTGGTGGATATATAGGTATATAAGTATTAAAGGAATAAAACTTTCAAATTTGTGGATTCTAATAAAAACTAATATTAATTTTGATAAACCTGAATTGTAGATACTCTAACTTAGGGTAGTAGTTGAAGCATGCAAAGCTCTAAAAATATATATGAATTTCGGCGTGTTTATATATATTTCTCCGTGGATATAAAAGCTTAAAATTTATAATCATTTTATGATGATCAGGTGACGGAGTTCAGTTGCGGAGGGTTCGTGGTGGGCCTGATCTCGGTGCACACGATGGCGGACGGGCTAGGGGCCGGGCAGTTCATCAACGCGGTGGGCGACTACGCCCGCGGGCTGGACAGGCCGAGGGTGAGCCCGGTCTGGGCCCGCGAGGCCATCCCGAGCCCGCCGAAGCTGCCCCCGGGCCCGCCGCCGGAGCTGAAGATGTTCCAGCTCCGCCACGTCACCGCCGACCTGAGCCTGGACAGCATCAACAAGGCCAAGTCCGCCTACTTCGCCGCCACCGGCCACCGCTGCTCCACCTTCGACGTCGCCATCGCCAAGACGTGGCAGGCGCGCACCCGCGCGCTCCGCCTCCCGGAACCCACCTCCCGCGTCAACCTCTGCTTCTTCGCCAACACCCGCCACCTCATGGCCGGCGCCGCCGCCTGGCCCGCACCCGCCGCCGGCGGCAATGGCGGCAATGGGTTCTACGGCAACTGCTTCTACCCGGTGTCGGTGGTGGCGGAGAGCGGGGCGGTGGAGGCGGCGGACGTGGCCGGGGTGGTGGGGATGATACGGGAGGCGAAGGCGAGGCTGCCGGCGGACTTCGCGCGGTGGGCGGTGGCCGACTTCAGGGAGGATCCGTACGAGCTGAGCTTCACGTACGATTCCCTGTTCGTCTCCGACTGGACGCGGCTGGGGTTCCTGGAGGCGGACTACGGGTGGGGGCCGCCGTCGCACGTCATACCCTTCGCGTACTACCCGTTCATGGCCGTCGCCATCATCGGCGCGCCGCCGGTGCCCAAGACCGGCGCCCGGATCATGACGCAGTGCGTCGAGGACGACCACCTGCCGGCGTTCAAGGAGGAGATCAAGGCCTTCGACAAGTAAAATGCTTGTGAAATGTGAACTTTGTTATTGTTACTACTTCTATGGGCTCGTTGCTCAATGGGCTTTTTTTTGCTTTTGTTTTGTGTGTGTGGGCCGACACGATTGGTCAAAAGGGATTTGGTGGAGGCCCAGTTGTAATAAGATGGTCCACGCATCATGGATTAATCGTTAATTGTAAGGTAGTACTACACGGATTTGTTAACAAGGAATAAGTTCACTTGGTGACCCAGTGATCGGAATCTAATTCATCTAAACCGCAAAACCGGATATCTCGACCCTCAAATTATTGAAACCGGTGCAATTTGACTCCCTCGGCGGTTTTGGAGGGCGGTTTCGCTGACGTGGCGCTGATGTGGCGGTATTGACCTAGTATGTGTGCTGACGTGGCGCTTAGGTGGCATTTCAATTAAAAAGATTTACGTGGGACCCTTTTGTCATTTACACACGCAGTTGAGGGGTCCACTGACATGTGGCCCCCACATGCCATCTCATCCTTTTCTTCTTCCTCCTCTCCTCCCTTCTATCTTTCTTTCTCCCTCTCCCCTACGGCCGTCCGCGGGGAGCGAGCGGCGGCGGGCGAGGGCTGAAGCAATGGCGGCCAGCGGGAGTTTAAGCGGCGGCGGCAGCGGTAGGCTAGAGTCCATGTCGCGCCGCTCGCCGTTCCTCTCGCACCACCACCATCCGCACCACCCGACGGCCGGCATCGAGATGTCGTCGGCGGCCGAGCTCCCCTCAAAACCCGAGAGATGTTCCGGGTGTCGCGGCGGCTGGCGGAGACTGCGGCGAGCGGCGGCGGCTGCACGGAGTCCCGAGCGGCGGAGGCGCAGGTGTGGAGCGGCAGCCGGCGAGCGGCGCGGCGGAGACGCGGATGTGGCGACGGCGACCTGCAGGTCGAGCAGGGCGCGGCCGAGCTCGCCGTACCCCGCCGCGTGTACCTCCCACCGCCACCGTTGTGGTCTCCTTCGTCTTCGCGGCGGTGAAGCTCAGCTCGGGCGCCGCCGCCGCCCGCAGGCGATCAGCTACGCCGTCCGCTCCGGCCGCCTCGACGGGCACGCGCTGCTCCTCCTTCTCGCAGCGGATATTATACCCCACGGTGAACGACACTATGGACACGCAGTATGGCGACGAGCTCCAAGCCGTGTGCCTGCCGGACGCGGAGGAGACGGCGTGGGCGCACCTGGACCACGGCTCGCCGGGAAGGTGCTGGCTATTCAACTTGGATCACTGGGCGCTGATCAGCGAAGCGGCGACGAGGCAGATGGTCGAGGACAACGCGGTGAACCAGTCAGCCCTTTGCTTGTTGGCTTGCCGCTTGACGTTAGTACACACATGCAGATGCCTCCCAACACGCGTGTGGTCACGTCGTTGTCGGCCGGCTCGGCACGCCGACCGCGTCCATCGGCGGCGGCGCCGCCTCCCCCGCCTGCGCCACTCCTCCCGCCTTCAACGCCGCCGCCGCCGCAGGTGCAGAAGAAGCCACCACCAGATGCCGCCATCTTCGAGGGGATGCCGACGCGAGTCGCGGTGGCGAGACGTAGGCGGCCCTTACACGTTCGTGGGCGCGGCGGGAGAACAGCGGAGGCGGGTGCATCGTGGCCGGCAGAGAGGGCGTGGAGCACAGTGGAGGATAGTGCGGTCGCGGGGCCGAGGGTGGCGAGGACGCGACCGTTCTGATGGCCCGTTTTCTTCCTTCCGACGGCCAACCTTCCACGGCGGTCTCGATCTCCGCCGCCACCGCTCCGGCCCTCGCCCGCACGCCACCGTCGCCGCTCTCGGGTCTCCGCCGCCACTGGCCCCCGTCCCACACTCGCGGAGAGAAAGAGAGAGGGATATGATTTATGTGGGCCCCACATGTCAGTGGGTCCCACCCATACTTTTGGTGAATGAAAAATGGGTCCCACGTATATTTTTTATTTCTAATGCCACCTAAGCGCCACGTCAACGCCACATGGACAGAAGACCAAGTCAATACTGCCACGTAGGTGCCACGTCAGCGAAACCGCCCTCCAAAACCACCAAGGGAGTCAAATTGCACCGGTTTTAAGAGTTGGGGGGTCGAGATATCCAGTTTTGTGGTTTAGGAACACGGATTAGATTTCGATCACTTTTGAGGGTCACGAAGTGAACTTATTCCAAACAAGAATATCTTATCATCCTTTTGTGGCTCACGGTGAAATAATGGGCCGCCTATGAGGCCCAAAAAAGATTAGGCAGGTTAATGGACTGGAATAAGTTCCCCGGCTCCCCTCCCCTCTCCCTCTCCACTCTCGGATCTTCCTCTACCTCTCAACTCTCCCCCGTCCTCACGGCGGAGCGGCGACCTCGCCAAGGACGCCGCGCGCACCTCCGACGCGAGAGGAGCGGCAGCGCGCGCCGGCCAACGGGAGGGAGGGAGAGGAGCGGCAGTGCGTTTGGGTCGGCGACCGGCGGGAGGGCGAGAGAGAAACGGCGGTGCGCGGCTGCCGGCGGGAGAGGGTTGGCGGCGCAAGCTGGCCGATGGGTGGGCGGGAGAGAAGCGGCAGCACACGCCGCGCCGGCGGAGAGGACGGCCGACGGGAGGGCGGAAGAGAGGGCCGCCGAGCGCCGCCTCCCTCCTCGCCCGGCCGCCGCGAGCGGCCCCTCCTCTCACCCGGGCACCACGCGCCGCTCATCCCACCGCCCCCCCTCTGCGCCGCCGCAAGCTGCCCCTTGTCGCCCGGCCGCTGCACCCACCGCCCACCCTCTGCGCCGCCGCTCGCCATTCTATAAGGGAGGGAGAGGGGGCTGACATGTGGGACCACATGGGCCCCACCTTTTCTTATAATTTTTTGTGTAGCTGACATGTGGGTCCCACGTTTTTTTATTATTTTTCCGGGATTCATTTGCCACGTCAATGCCACGTTGGACGAGGACCTAGTCAAAGAAAGCCACGTAGGCGCCATGTCATCCAAAACCGCGCAAAATACTGCCGAGGGACCCTTTTTTTTTTGTACGGTTTTGTAAGTTGGGGGACCCGTCATACCCGGTTTTGCGACCGAGGGACGAAAGTCGGACTGGGCGACAAATAGAGGGACCTAATGGACTCGATGCTATAGCCCAGTATTAAATAAGCCTTGGCTCTGGCCCACGTGGAAAGGGCTAGATTGTAAGCTGGGTAAGATGAACCGTGGCCCGTGGGCCTGGATTGTGCATAGCTACGGTTACTTAACTTGGCCCGGAACAAAAGTGGAGATTACACCACAAAATTAATACATAGGACTCTTTTGGTTTTGGAGGGGTGATGATGGGTGAGAGGATGCATGATTATTTTTCTTATAATATTCTTATACGAAATGTTGTCATTCTTACAAAGAGGGAGATCTTTGCAAAAACAGGAGATGTACAAGCTGCAAAGTATGGTGTGATAACAAGACGTATATTGATGCATGAATATGGGAAGCCAAGTGGTAGGCTAGAGATTTACCGTTGTCTCTTAGACAGAATTTATGCCTGGTCGTAGTCGTGGGCGTGTGAGTGTGCTGTGTACACATATGCGTCGCTTTCTACGTAATCAGAAAATATATAAGTATATAACCAACTGAAGTCATGTAGACATACGTGAGCAGCAGCAGCAGCAACGCTAGCAATACACCATTCAGTATAAGCCATTGGGCCCAAGCAGAGCAACAAGATTATCAGTTAGCAGCCCAATCATAGCAGAAGCCAGCAGCGCGCAGGAGCTGCATCAGTAGCTAGCTAGTAGCCCAGCAGCCCAGATGAACTTTGATGCTTTGGGAACTTATTAGAATATCCGAATATATTCTTCCCAGATTATTATCGATCGGCTCAAAATATCAGATAGTTAGGGCAGATGTTTGGAGGTATCTATATCTGTATCCAACAAGGGATCCCATCCAACAACTACTCCGCCCGTTATGCATATTATAGGTTATTTTGTGTTTATTCTAAGTAAATTTCTTTAAATTAAATCAAGTTTATTGTATGAAAAACGTAGCCACATTTATAACATCAAATTAGTTTCATTAAAGTCATCATGAATATATATTTTTATAATATATTTGTTTTGTGTTGAAGTGGTGAGCTCTCTCGCTTGGCAACACGTACCCATCGCCGACACCAAGCCCTCTCCTCCTCTCAGCCATGCCTCATCGAAAGGCCCACCAAACCACAAAGACGAAAACACAATTTTGTCTGGACGGATGGGCGGGGGCAGTGTGCTTGACATTGTGCTGTTTTTGGTGATGTCGCCATTAACATTCTTTCGTGTGTTTGTTTGGCTACCAACTGACTAATTTTAGTCAGATTGATGGATCGAACAGTCACTTCGGGCCTTGTTTAGCAAGGGATGGTCGCAAGAGTTTGGGCTTTTTGAAGGTCGTCTTCGGATGGGTTTTTTGCGCGGCAGGGATAACCAGGTAGTAGAAGACCGTTCTTTAGTATTACATTTCTTGCAACAAAGTTTGTTTCTAACACTAATACAAAATCACAAATAGGGGACATACTCAAACGTGACAGTTCATACAGCACATACGAGGCTTTTTCCATCATTCCGATCCTCAAGCAGGCCTAAAATAGAAAAATGGCACTAACAATAAGTGTCGTCCCCCGCAAAAAAAAATAAGTGTCGTCGTTTTTTTAATAAACATGCATGTATACTTTGAGATACTAGGTGAAACTCCGCGTGTTGCTGCGGGAGTTCAATATGATAACAATAAGTAAAAATAATGTGTAATATAGCTAAACAACATAAACTTACATAAGCACTAAAATCAATTAATGTGATATGGCTTAATTAGAAAAGAGAGAAATATCATTAACCAAGTGAGGATGAACTTACATAGGTACATAAGATATATAAAAAATAATGAAGATATGTATTGAAATATTATGTTAATTATGTGGGATGATGATTTAACATGCTTTCATTTTAAAAGCTCTAAAATGTAATATATTTTAAATTATAGATAATATAGCATGTTTGCATGTGATATTAAATGTATTGATTGTTAGTGGATGATAATGTGTCAACTTGTTAGTGGATGATGATGTGGCATCTTTGTATGTTAAGCTTTAGGAGTTAGTGGGTTATAACTTTATAGTAAGATAGGATAAGTGCCCTTTTTTTTTAAAAAAAAAATACTTTTAGTGGGAGCTAAGCCAAGCCGATGCCAATGTCAAGCGTGCGTGAAGTAGGCGTCCTTATCCTCCCATAGCGTCCTTATCCCCTCGGTCACTCCATCTCCTTAGCTC